TCTATTAAGTAGGGATTTAATCTTGGACAGAAAAAAGCATCCTGTTAGTTTGATTTGTTTTGATTGGCAGTGAATTCCAATCTTGTAAAAATATAGATTAATGGATTCTTTTATCTATACTCGTGGAGAAAAAGAGTATTGAGGTTTTCTTCTAGATATATGCTGATTTGCCCCAAAGTAAAGGGAGTAATTTACAGACAGAGATAAATGTGGATTTCACTCTTTACATTGCAGTGCATTTCATTCAACTTCAATATATCCTTAAAAAAATTATATCAGCTTATGTTACACTGACAGTGACAAATTCCTAAGGCAATAGAATATATAATATTTTAAGTCAACTTCTGAAACCAGGGCACATTGAGCATAACCATAAATGCCTGGTTTTGCATAGTTATTTTTGTTGGCAGATTTCTCACTTTCCTAAAACTAGCTCATGTGGTACAGGAGCAGACCCTAGCCCTACATGTTTCTGTAGGCACTTCCATGGGCTCAGTCCTGGCATGGCTACAGAGTCTTACATGGGAACTGTTGCCTATTGAAATGATTGAAGGCTGTAGACACTGATTTTAATCAAGATTTCAGTATTACTCAAAATGTTCTAAAGAAGTAATTTCCTAGTTATATTTCTAAATATAATTTTGACTACTCATAGAGATTATAATTGTAACAGGGTAGAAATCCAGGATAAAACTACTGCATGTAAATGATTCTCAAAATGAAGGGTGAGTGGAAATTAGGGCATATCTCGATGTAATGGCTGGATGCATTTACCTGTCAAAATAAATATGAGCTGTATTACTAGCTGTGTTAACTACTGGATGCTAATGAGTTGATAACAGAAGAATGAACTTCCTTTTATTACCTTAATTTTTCCCTTAGTACTCAATGGTGTGTTTCACTTCTGCTGGCTCATGTACAGTAATTGTTGAAAAACACCTTGGATCATACTGTATAAATTAAAGCATAGGAGTTCGCACATTCCTTTTTTTTAAGTCTTGTTACTCTGTGGTTTGCTTTCCAGTGGCTGTTGAGGAATTAATATGTTGTCAATTTTTTACTTTTACAAACCAAAATAAGCTATAGATATGGCATATGCCATGAGATGTGTACTTTGGCAATATGACTAAGTATGACTTCTTTGGCATAACTGTCTAAATAGATTAGAATAGTTGAGAGTAGGATAGTTTGATGGATGGATATCCTTATGGTTCCTTTGATGAGGCCTACTATGCATCAAATGCTGAATGTCTTTTTAATGTGTACTGTTGGAGCTCTGTAAGAGAGTGGTGACAGAAAGCTAATGTGCCTAGATACGGTTGCCATAAAGTCATTTTGAGAAGAGGGGAAAGATTTTGGACCATATTTTGCCTTTTTTTATCCATGTGTATAATTGAAGAGACCATAGAGGTGGCTGCATTCCCCTCGGTAGATGTGTCTATACCTTAGGGGTTTTTGTATCATTCATGTAGAATAACAAAAGTAAGATCCAAGACAAAGTCATTTTAATTTGTGGAGGAATCACACGAGTTATTTCTCTTTGGTTTTCTGTTTGACACATTATGTCCTTGCCTGATTGTCATGCTGAGTAAATCAGTGATTGAGTTTTTTGCCTGACTTGTGTTTAAAATGACCAAGTTTTGCCTAGCTTCAATCCAAGACTGTAAAGCAGATCAGGCTCAATCAAAATTCAATTCTGTCCACTTGAGAAGTTCATGATTTTTTGTCAGAACTAATCTGTCATTTTTTGCATAATATTACAAAAATCTTAAATGCTTATAATACTTATGTATCACTTTTACGTCTGGTTAAGTTTATGTAAAAGAGCTTGTGTTAGTCTTTAAAATTTTCATGGTATTCTCAGTGGATTATTTTGAATTCATGAGCTTTTCAATTTTCATGTAGTAATGTAATTAGGATGTCATGTGGATGTTTTAGTGCACTTGTATTTCTATGTGCGCCCCTGTTAAAAGATGATTTTCGTTGTTAAACACTTCTTTGATAAACATTTTGTTCATAATGAAATGCTGCAGATCCTTTTGGTTCAGTATTTGTCTTTGTAGCATAAGTGAAAAAATAAGAGTTAAGATAACTGATGGAAATTTTGTTTTCTTGATTCCTTCTTAGAAGATTTTGTTTGCTTGTATACAAATGCTATGGACTCTAATGCTGCTATATACAAATGCTATGGACTTTAATGCTGCTATTGACTAGCTCCCCTACCTTCTTGCTACTTGTCAAACCACTGTCAAACATAAAAAATGGATTATGCTTCCTTGTCTGGAAGCTATTCTATAGATACATTATGTTGAGGCCCACAACATTGTACCACACAGTAAAAAACTAAATCCCCATTCCTTTGCCATTTTCTAAATATTGATTAGCCATGTAACTTGAAAGTGCAGAAAATGTATTGTTTGTCAGTATCATATGCACGTAAATGTAAAGGCATGTAAATTATAAGAGATCGAAAATAATACAAAATATTTTATTTCATATAATACATCTTGTCTTATTCTAGATAGCCAGCTACAAAATATTGTTGTTTCCACTTCTAGCTTTTAATGAAGGTTTTAAGATTTTAAAAAAAAATAAAAAGAAAAGTTTAAGAAATAAGGAAAAAATCCAGAAAAGAAAACCTGGAATAAGTGGATGTAAAAAACTGTACAAGGATTGAACATTGTCAGAAAAAGGGACAGTTAAGAATTCATGGGCTTGTGTATAAAATTAGATTCTGGGTCAGTGCAAGTCAAGAGAATTTAGTCTCGATAAAATCAAAGATGCAACCGAAATGACAAGACTTGGAGTAAATGGTTTGTAACCTGTGTCATTACATTTTGTTGCCTCAGTGTAAAGGCCAGAAAGGCCCATATTGTGTAATAATGAAGAGAGACAAAAGTTAGCCTTTTAGGTGTAGAACACCTCCAAGAAAGTACTGACTGCAAAATAATGAAAAAAGTTCATTTCAAAGAGAAATGGTCATTCGGATGATCTGCACCTTTGCTTTAATGGTAGAGATTTTCTTCATGTAATAAAGTAATGTCTGTAAGCTAAAATGAATGGAGTAATATGCAGAAAGTGATATCCTTTTAGATAAGATTTTGAATGACTTCCAGATGCCACTGCCAATACAAGTCACAGTCAAAATGACCCTGTAGTTAATGGTAGTAAATTTCCACAGAAAGGTGCCCCGGAGCAAACGGGTATTTCAGCCTATAAGTCTCATGTTTTGATCTTTCTGTATCAAGTGCTCCACTTTTGGCACATGCATTCGTCTCTAAGGAAGCACGCTACTGCAAATATTAAAAGAATTTAAGAAGTAGACAAAGCAGCATGGTACAGTAGGGATGATGAGTCAAGCTGGTAATGACACGGGAAGCATGGGGAGAATGAGGATAAGACTCAGTGTATAGGATCTGGATTATGAGCTTGTGGGGTTACCTTCATCTGTACTGGATGCAACATCACATGTACTTTTATGCTAAGAAGGATTTCTTTTTACTGTATAGGCATCAGCAGAAAGACACATGAATACCAAATAATATGATTTATTGCTACAGGGAAGCAGGGTGCTGTAGCACTTGTACGTAAGATGAATGAGGCAGGGTGTGCATCTTTGCTAACACGTGTGTTGCTTCTTTGTATGGCTGCACTTGTCCCATCCAAGAAGAGGCTTTCAGGAGCACAGAACGACTATCTCTGTCAAGAAAGAGTTTTATAAACGTATGAGGAAAGTCTCTTGGGCTAAACTTACCTCCATGAAGGCACAGATATTTGAAAACTGGTTTGGGCTTATCTTAAGAGAGCACTGGGAAGGTCAGACTCTGTTGTGGAAGTCCAGTGGGCTGTACACTGGGGGCCCTGCACTGCTGTTTTGTTCTGTGTCATTTCATTAAGGATCATTGCACCTGCTACTGATTGCAATGCAGGTTATTAATAATGAAAGAGTTTTCAAAATCTAACTTATTTCTCATGTTACTGTCTGTTCAAACAATGGGTATAGATTAATCAGATTGCTGAATCAATTTGTGAGCTGTTTATTGTTTTCACTTATTAACTGTTGAAAGAAATCTTTTCTGTTTAAATGTTTGTTCATTGTGTATTGATCTGTGTGTGGTTGAAAATAAGAAAACTGAGTTGTTCATAGACAGATCCCAGTTGGCTTTTCCTTCAGGGTCTTGCTTATAATTTACAAATATGGTAAGTGCTGTGCAGATGTAGAAGAAGACATCATTTGTGCCCTCAGGAAACAGTAGAAATACAGCCATGTAAGCCGTTTTGTTTCTGAGACATGAAGTACAAGAAAAATGAAGTGTGAGATTGGTACATAGCTTGCTACTTCCACATGTGTTTGATTGCTGGATTAAAGATAAAAACGTGTAGTTTTGTGTGGTGGAACAAGGATTTTTAGGAGTGATTAGGATGACTGTGTTCTCCCGTGTGCTGCGGTGTCTTCACTCGAGGTCTGGCAGGGCAGTGTTCTTTGTTTAAAACAACTTTAAAATCCCACTCAGACAGGATTGTCTTATACCTAGTCCTGTTACTAGTAACAGCTACGAATAATTGAATGTCAGTAAAAGAAGATGCTTTTCTTTCTGTATATCTCCCCCGCCCTGGTTTTGTTTACTTTCTTTATTTGACAGCAGTTTGTGTCTTCTCAGTTACAGTATTTTACCAGTATCATCAGTCAGCCTGTTTCCCTGTTGTTTATTTGGGTATTTCCCACTGCATCAAGAACAGAAATGTTTAAAAATGGGGATTTTTATTCCATAAAATAGCCCTCACCCACAATTGGGGGAAGAAGTGAAGTCTGGGTCAAGTGTAGAAACTAATTCTGCATTTCATTTATTAAAAATGCATCTAATTCATCAAAAAAGAAACAAACCAAACTGCAAGTTGACAGTTCTGCAAGTCAGTTCTGTAAGCTTGTGAAAGTAACTTTACCTGATCATGCTATATGGTAACTGCTAATGACTAAATACTGTTTCAATCTCTTTTAGGATCAGAGTCACACACAAGTTTCCCAGTATCGCCAGGATCACTCTCTGATTATGAGATCTATTGTCCACATGACTGATGCTACTCATTCGGGAATTATGCCTCCTTCTCAGCTAACCACCATTAACCAGTCTCAGCTAAGTGCACAGCTGGGGCTAAATTTAGGAGGCACTAATTTGCCACACACTTCTCCCTCCCCACCTGCCAGTAAATCAGCCACTCCTTCCCCATCCAGCTCTATAAATGAAGAAGATGCAGATGAATCAAATAGAGTAAGTTATTCCCTGCACTGTAGTGAGTAAGCTTTACATGTCTATATGTTATATTTTCATGAATGTGGCAGGTGGTAGGATCATGTCAGCTGCAGTTTGGTCATATAAAACACAGATGTTACAGTACAGTGGAATATGATTAATTTCCTGTTTAGCCACTTCAGACGTTTCCGTAATACCTCCATAATAATAAATGTAAAAATATACATAGAATCATAAAATAGTTAGGGTTGGAAAAGACTTCAAGATCATCTAGTTCCAAGCCCCCCACCATGGGCAGGGACACCTCGCACTAAACCATGTCACCCAAGGCTCTGTCCAACCTGGCCTTGAACACTGCCAGGGATGGAACATTCACAGCTTCCTTGGGCAGCCTATTCCAGTGCCTCACCACCCTCACTGTGAAGAACTTCTTCCTTATATCTAACCTGAACCTCCCTTGTTTATGTTTGAACCCATTACCCCTTGTCCTATTGCTACAGTCCCTGATGAAGAATACCTCTCTGACATCCTTATAGGCCCTCTTCAGTAATGGTATTTCTCCAGAACACGTTTTGCAGTCAGGTGCTTACTGAGCTAGAAGCGATGTCTTCATAGTTAAGAACTTGCAGAGAAATTTTCTTTCCTGAACTTCTCTTGTTGCCTTCTAATCCCATGTAAAGTTTTAGCATCCAGAACACTGTCTCCACAGCTCCATTATGTATTGCAGCTACCCTGACTATATATATATATGGTCTAATACATTCATAATTGATTTCAGATTTTTTAGATTTGGTGAATCTTTGGACAGTTTTGTCATTTTGGTATTCTTTGGAGTCATATAAAACAGATGCGTTTAGACAGAAATAAAATAAACTTTCTTTTAACTGAAAGTTTAGTCATTTTACACTTTGCTTTAAATAAATCTGTTATAAGGGGAAAATTTTGTCAACAAAACAGGGCACAATCATTATCATAGCAGTACATTTAAAGGATGTAATTTAGACTGTTCCATGAAAGGTTTTCTCATTCAGTTAATGGAAATTGTGCATATGGAAAGATCATTACACAGGATCCTCAAAATATCACAGTAAAATGTATATCACAGAGGTATACTTAGAGCCACATTGTTCCCTTATTGCAATAATCTGTGCATAGTTCAATGAAAGATGGTACAGGACGAGGTGCACACAGGGACCAGCATTACCTGTATCCTGGTGTGCTGCTCTGGGGGTTCCCCATCCCAGGGGAAAAGGGAGACGTAGCAGCAGGGCCAGCGCCTGGCAGTGAACTGAGCCTCCAATGCTACTGTACAGGTGCCTGACCCTGCACTGAGGCAGTGGAGGTGGGTGCTGGACATGGTGTTTGCTGCAGGTAGATAGAAGCTGCAGAGTTGCTACTGCTTTTTGCGTGAAGGGTGGGCTTTTTAACCTCAGACCCATGTCTTAGTTGACAGTCTAAGTCTGAGAATCAGGAAATGCCTCCAAGCTCTTCTCTTTTGAGTCTCTGTTGCTGAAATTACATCTTAATAGAGAAACATGGATGGCATATTCAAAATATACTATATGGGTTTTTTGGAGGTTTTTTGTTTTTTTTTTTTTTGTTTTTTAAATACGGATTAGCATTGGGGTGTATTTTTTCAGGTCAAGCTCATAGGATTTGTCTCTCAGAGCCATGCTTACAATGAGTAGTAACTATTCATACATTTAGTTCCAGTAGATCTGGTGAGATTTAAGAACTGTTTGGGAGGAGAAAGGCATGTGCAACAGGACTCTGCAGAATGTTGCCTACATGTAACTTTATCCATATATTATTAAACCAGATTGTCAATATTTTTCTCATAATTAACCTGACTTATTTCATGCATATATTGACTATTCTTGCTGTTACTATTTTTTAGGCTACTGGAGAAAAAAGAGCTGCCCCAGATTCTGGCAAGAAGCCCAAGACTCCAAAGAAGAAGAAAAAGAAAGATCCCAATGAGCCACAAAAACCAGTGTCAGCATATGCCCTTTTCTTCAGGGATACACAAGCTGCAATTAAAGGGCAGAACCCGAATGCTACATTTGGAGAGGTCTCAAAAATAGTGGCATCTATGTGGGACAGCTTAGGGGAAGAACAAAAACAGGTAAAAAATTGAGGCAGGGCTGTCTCACAAAAAGTAAAACAGTAATCCTTGTAAAAAAGTATCCTCCTACCTCTATTCTGAGTGGACCATGCTGCTTGCTGGTGTAGACCTCTTACTTGTTAGTGCTATACTGATTTTTGAACTTGCTGAAGACGTGGTATCTGAAAAGCATTTTGATATAAGAGGCAGTAGGTAGTATTAAATGACTGTGTTTGTCTTCAAATTTTAAAGGGCAGTTTGTAAAAAAAGCTCAGGTGATACTGTCCTGGAGTCCTGTTAAGACTGTCTTTTGACGATTCCTATTTTAAAGCTCTTCTTTCCAATCAATCATAACTTAGAAAAGGGGAAAGTACAGCACATTTAGCATTTTCCTTTGATCCGCCTTATGAATTTGTTACAAAGCTTGTTGATTTCTAACCTTTGAAGCCAATCCTCTGTGCCTCATTACAATGTCATGTGTGAAATGTTACTTCCAAATCGAACTTGGTACAGAACGAGGAGTTTGTTCTTCCTTGAGGGTTGTTCTTTCTACACACATGTAACTCCTACACATGGATGGAAGTGAAGGGGGGGGGGAATCCTTTGAAGCTATTTGTGTGTTGATACTCTGTGAAGCTTCTAGTAACAGTTAATGGAAGCTGTGATGGAAGAGTAAATTTTGCATAGGACACCTTCTGGCAAGATGTGAATGATCTTGTTTGTCAAATACATTTGGAAACTTTCAGTGTGATCTAACAGATGATGGTGAACATGATTTAAAGGTGAACTTTATTCTCTCATACTGGCTTTGGGGAAAGTGAAATGTCCAAGCTTTATGAAACAACTTTTCTAAAGATGTATTTTTTTTATATAGAGTTTGAATATTTGTTTAAAAAATATTGCATGGTCATCTTTTGCTATTTTATACAACTGCAGATACTTCTTAGCATCTGAAATACTCTGTGTTCTAATATTCTATTTACTTAGGATCATTAAGATAAAATTTCCTGGGGAAGTAAAGTGTGCATAGCTAGTCTTGTCAAACAGTTGGCTGTTCTAGCCACTTTTGTTATTCACAGTAAATCAACCTAAGTTCTGCTCCAGCAAGTAGACCTGAAAGTCTGTAGCCAGGGAAGAAAAAGCACATCTAACAGTAGAGTATTTTCTGGTGGTTTTTGCATGTGTTTTTTGTTTCTTTGCTTTCTGGCAAAAACACCTTAATAATTGAAGATGGTGAAATTGTGCTCTCTTTTAATAGGTATATAAAAGAAAAACTGAAGCTGCCAAAAAAGAATACCTAAAGGCACTTGCAGCCTATAGAGCAAGCCTTGTTTCTAAGGTAAGCCTGGTAATACCTTCCATGTAATGGAAGTTAGCTCTTGGCAATGGTGTTTAAATATTTGTGGTGGAAGGTGTGGTGTTATGCAAAATATAAGTAGAATCTTAGGGTTTCATTAATACAGCTCTACCAGATGTTGTGCTTCTGCTTGAACCCTGCTTAGTCTCTGCAAAAAAAAGTCGTCTCTCCAATGGCACAGTAATGATTACTAAACAATAACTTTGCAAATATACATCTTCTTTTATCTATGGTGGCAAAATAATGCACTTCACTACAAAAGTAAAATTCAGTCATGAAAAATACACTGACATTTTGACATTAACATTTGCAAGTTATTTGCAGTGTTCTGTTTTTTCCTCAAGTGCTACTGCTCAAAAAACAGACTTGCTTTGTGTGAAGCTAGAGAGCAGTTATTGCATGACAAAGCTTAAGTATTTCTTGCAGGTGAGGGGAAGAAATGTGTGGTGGCTCTGAATTTGGAGAGCACTTACAAATGGACTAGCTGGCACTAAGCTGTATGGAGTATTGTAGTGGATGCTGAATTAAAATAAAACTTGTGAAGAAAACAAAGCTTTGTTGTCTTATATGAGAACTTACCTTTCTAACCAGCAGCACTACACTGGTTGTAGGTCTGTTGCATCTGAATACCATAAATGGAAATATGTTTATGGACTTCTAAAACATGATTAAAAGTTAATCGAAGTGGTCATTTCTCTACCAATATTTCATAAAGATCAATTACAAAAATATCTTTGATCTGAAGAAAGCAACAGAAGGAAGTGATGCTAACTCCTGACAGTATTTATTTAAATATACAACTGCAGAGTGTTAGTAAATCGCACAGAAAGTTGCTGTGTGTTTTAATTAATGATTAAAAATACAATAGCAGACATTATACATGTGTTCCTGAAAGCTGGAAAATTTCTTCTCCTTGTATTGAGAAGCTGCATTTTTCTGTTGTCTCTAGAACTTACATAATATCCTCAAAGTGTTTAGTATCACAGTGCTAACTTCAATGACAGCTGGGATTCTAAATACCTTTGAGAGGATTTATTTTTTCAATCCTAAGTTCCTTTTTCAAAAACATCAGAAATAATTTTCTCCCAATATCCGTGGGACCCAGGCTGCCAAGTAACTTGTGGGAAGATGGAGTGGAAATTGTACTCTAAATGCAGTTTTCATCTCATCTCCTCCAACCTAAGACATAATTGCTGTGGCTTTTTCATCCAAGGTAGTTGCTGAGAGTAGGCATGCAATTTATTGCAATAGGCCTTTTTGGACTGTAGTTTTCCGTCAGATGTGTCTTATCAGAAACCTCCAGAACACTGAAAGAAGGCAGCATTCCTTAAGCAGTATCCCTTCCAGGGTATTCAGTTGGATGTCTGGATAGCATTCCCTTAGGCTTTTGTCTCTTGTAGTTACCTTGGTCTTGATTCCTTAGATGTGAAAACCTACAACAAGCAAATTTTAAAAGTTGCTTGAGAAGTTTTGTTGTTTGTAAACTCTTATGCTGTAACTGGTGTGGGGTCATATGCTTCTGCTCAGATTTGTCTTCCAAAGAACAGGGTTTTTTCAAAACTAAATATAGAAATTGTTGGGCCTTTTTTAGCTCTTTCAGCCACAAGATGTACGTGACATCGGTGACTTTCTGGTGTTGAACAAGGGCATGAGTTAGTTTTTTGGCCAAGAAAGAATTGAGAGACAATATAGAGACAATACAGAGACAGAGGAAGAGGTAATACAGTGGTTTGGTGGATCACTGATCTTTTCTCATAGAAAACAGAAGGTGAAAAAGTCTCTCTGAGTAGCTGTGACTTTTATTTCATGTGAACAGTAACAATGTCTTTTTTGTTAAAAATAAAATTCTTTTCCAAACACAGGCCGCTGCTGAATCTGCTGAGGCCCAGACAATTCGTTCTGTTCAGCAAACGTTGGCATCCACAAATCTGTCTTCCTCCCTTATTCTGAATACTTCTCTTTCTCAGCATGCAACAGTGTCAGCCTCTCCTCAAGCTCTTCAACAGCCCCTTCCAAGAGCAATTGCTCCAAAACCTTTAACCATGAGATTGCCAATGAATCAGATTGTAGCTTCTGTTACCATTGCACCAAACATGCCAACAAACATTGCTGCCCCACTGATAAGCTCTATGGGAACAAATATGGTGGCAACACCGTCTCCATCTCAAGTCAGTCCCTCCATGCAAAGCCAGCAGCACCAGATACAGCAGCTCCAGCAGCAGCAGATGCAGCAGATGCAACAGCAGCAACTACATCAGCATCAAATGCATCAGCAACTTCAACAGCAAATGCAACAACAGCATTTTCAGCATCACATGCAACAACATTTGCAGCAGCAGCAGCATCTTCAGCAGCATATTAATCAACAGCAAATGCAACAGCAGCTGCAGCACATGCAGCTGCAGCAAATGCAGCAGCAGCAAATGCAGCATATGCAACACCAGTCACAGCCTTCTCCTCAGCAGCACTCTCCAGTAGCCTCTCAGATCACTTCTCCCATCCCTGCCATTGGGAGCCCTCAGCCAGCACCTCAGCAGCACCAGTCACAAATACAATCTCAGACACAGACTCAAGTATTATCACAGGTCAGCATTTTCTGAAGAGAAATGGTCCTGTAACATGGCTTTTTATTGATAAAGGGGATAAACATAAACCATATTTGTCTGAAAACTGTAAATTGTTGATGGTAGTTATGCAGGGATGCATAACAGATCAAATGAGCCTCTAAAGTGTCTATTAGATAGGCAATAAAGAACTACAATGTAGCTGTGTATCATCTTTTAGCTGATTATAAATCATTTTGTTTAAAAAAAAAAAAGCTGTGCTCTTTTTCATGTGATGCCTTTTTAATTTATTTAAGCTTTACCTACAATATGTGAATCAAATGGCCTAATAAATACCTGGACCTTATGACTGCAAAATGGCCTTTCAGAGTTATAAGATATAACCCTACTTTCTCTAAAAGTGAGTAATGCACTTCAAGGCAGTATGAACTCATTAAGCCCTTAAAGCACAGTTGTAACTACCTGTAAAATGATGATTGGATTTCATACAATCATACTTGTATGACATGAGTTAGTTGATGGCATTTTTGTCATGGAAAAAAAGAGTAAATCACAGATTTTTGCCAAAGCTCTTAAGTTTTTTCTCTCCTACATGTCTTTAGAATGCAAGTAACTGAACTTAAATGTTTGAGACAACCTTTCACTTCATTTTTCCAAATAAACCTATCATAGTTTGTAAAAAAATATATATTGACATTTACATTCTTACGTTAATTCCAGTTACAGAACAAATGTGAGTATTATATCCTGTGTTGAAGTGATGAGTTTCAGATTGAATACACTGTATTTTTAAAAGGGGAATGCACTTAAATAAAACTGTTGTTATGGAGAGCTAAGATGAAAGCAAGAGTTTTTAATATTCTGTAAAACCAGTAGAATATTTAAATGAAACTCCACAACAGAATAATCAATGTAAATATTTTCTTTAAAAGTTGTAAGTTTTCATATCATGTGTTGTAAAGTTTTCATAAATGAGGCTTTAATGTAAACACTGGTAACATGAATTATTAATTGCTACATTGCTTATTGTGTTTTTATGCTGTTTTATACTTTTTTATGAGTTATGATAGCAGCAATTAAGTTGTTTGTATTTTGCTTATCTAAAATAAATGCTTTTATCTTGCTATAGAATAAACACATTTCAGTAAAACTGATGAGCCATGAGTCTTTGATAAAAAACCCGAAAATGTTGCCTTATGCAAACACTTCCTTGGAAAATTTATTTCATGTTTTGGATTTTTCTTGCACGTACTGGGTAAGCAGGTACGATGGAATCCGAGAATGTGATCAGCTCGTGTCCCCATTAGGATGCCCTGCTGAAGAGTTGTGTACATCTCTGAGAGAAGGCAGGTGGTAGAGTTACGAAGAGTTCATGATACCTTGTGTTACATTTTTCTGCAAGAGGGCCACAGACAACCTGTCTCTCACAGTGATGTTCAGAGATAAGCACAAATTGTGGTTTTCATTGTATCTTTCCGTTTCAGATGTAAATACTGCTCCTGCCATGGCTTCCCCTCTATAAGCCCCCAGCTCAGAGTTGGGCTGATCCAGAGTTGTCTGACTTGTATCATAAAAGTAGGACATGATAAAGGAGAGGTGGAGAGGGCATGTATTGCATATGAAGGGTTTGGAAACATTCATATCCAGTGTGTTGTCAGGTTATTAGTGCTGTCTTTCTCTGGACAGAGAGGATAAATTCTTTATTTTCTTCTTTTTGCCTGCATTATCTGTGCAGCAAATGCAGTCTGACCACTATCCCCAGTTGTCTGGCATGATTAATTACAGCATCTGTCCTGTCAGAAGCTATAATGAAGAGGTCTTGATAAAAATTGCAAATTACTACTGGCAACAATCTTAAACTGCTTATGATAAAATGAAAATTAAAACCAGCAAGTGTCAAACCTGAGTAGAATCCTAATCCTGTTTGAAGAGATGTCCATGGCTATTATGCTCAGACTACAACCAAAAAATAATGGTTGTATGGAATATAGATCCCCAAAAAGTTGCAGCCAGACTTGAGAGAAGAAGTACTGCACTGTGTGAGTTTATTAATAACTCAGCTTTCAATATTTCAGCATCCTCAGGTACTCAGTTTATTATGTACAAATATTGAACAGCAAGAGAGTCTAATTATAAATTTATAGATTTCTTGGAGCAGAAAAAAAATCCTGTATAAATTGAAGCTTTTCATAGTAGGTGTTAGCTGACAGCTACCTCTTCTCCTTATACTCTTAGTATGATATCTAAGAATGTCTGGGACAGAGGATGTTTATTCCAGGCACGAGGAAGTCTGCCTGCATTAGAAATGTCTGATTCGTAGAGATTTCTGTGTGTGTCAGTTTTAACCAATGTTACATAACAAAGGGAACCATTTTATAGTTGTTTTGAAACCTTTAGACAAATGTCTTCAGAAATAATTGCTAAACTGCATGTGACAGTAATTGTGTATTAGTTCTATAATTGTCATTTTGAAGACCTATGAAGTATCGTTGGAAAAAGGTCACTAGTGATAAGAGTTAATTACAACTGAAGTCTGTTTTCAACTATTTGCAGTGAGAAGCAGGTGTTATTACACTCATTAAATGGTTTCATAAATCCTGGGTTTTATCACATTTGATTAAGAGCTACTGAACTACTGATGTTCAATTCCAGGAAAAATAGTTTTAATTACTGCAGGGAAAAAAAAAATAAAAATCATGAAGCAGGACCATACATTTTAAATATCAAAATTTGAATCTTGAAAAACTGGATCTCCCTGCTTGCTACAAAATTATGTTTTACATTACCCACAATAGCATATTGCAGAACATCTTGTGTTTCAAACTGTGCAAGTTGGTGTTCATATTCCCCAAATCTGAGTAACTTCACGATCATGTCATAAATAAAACTGTTAATTTAAATAGTTAATATGCAATTTATACAGGAAAAATGCAGTATCCGTATGATTTCAGTGTTATGTATGGTTTAAAGAATGTTTTCCTTCATATCATTTACAAGCATTTAACTGCTCCCTTCTTTCCCAAGGTTTAAGATGCTTTATCACCCTGTTTAACCACATTCTACTTCCACATTAACCCAGGTTGACACATGATGAAAGAACATAAGGAGGTTTAATTTTTAGCTGACACAGGGTCATTAGTTTCTAACTTGCAGAACAAAGCCTTTAAATACCTCTGTGCAACATAATCTCAATTTTATGTTATCACCTGACCATTGTGATTTGCAGGACAGATGGATTAAATATCTCAAGTTTAACCAGAAGTCTTACACTAACTCTTTTCAATGGGGATTGCCTATTTGAATGGTTCCTTTTCCATTTCTCACTTCATGGAGTATTTTGCAGCACTGGACTTCATTCTAACCTTTCCCTCCCCCCTTTGTTTGGCTTTTGTTTTGCAACAGCTGTTATTATCGTTTTTGGTCAGCTGTGATTGCTGGAGGCAAAATAGGACCAGATGGTGTTTTGCTATGCATGAATGGCGAGTTAGAGGAGTTTAGATTGAATAGGCCAAGTTTGAATGGTGTCTATGCACCACCTGCCCTCTTCAGCAGCAGCATACACATCATAGGAGCATGATCTGTCTCAGACCTACTAGAATTGGATGGGAATGGAGAGAGCCTCGTTGGATTTTCTCCATATTTATTGATCTTCCATGCACTAACAGCATAATGCAGTACACAGTCAATTTGAGTTAATTGGATATGACACAGCATGTACATGTAATCTATCACTGTAGCTTCCCGGTACACTTTAGGTTTTGCTGCCACAAGAACACGTAGTACTAGCCTGGATTAACAGGCTAAGTGGATGGAAGTAAAATAAGATCATTGTAGGGCTTGGTTTAGCAAAATATGCTGTAGTTTTAAAATGATACCCTTGAAACTGCCAGAGATTTAGTTAAATAGGAACGTTTTGGATTTGATAGACTGGACTGAGTATTTGGGCACAGAACTAAATATACCTCATTCTTACACTTTTCTGAGAGGTTTGCCAGTGAAATTTAAATGAAGAGCTGACTAAAAGTCGAGAGGCAGTGTCAGTAGTGATCAGTAGTGATGGACTGGTGCTGTTCAGAAAGGGGCGTGTGTTTATGTGGAGGAATCTGCTTCGTAGCAGAAGAGATTTTATATTAAACAAATTCTGATTACCAGCCCCTAAAATTAAAATTAGGCATCCAGATTGTGTTTAGAGTAGAAAAAGGCAGCTTTGATGTCCTCAAACTGGTCGTAGAGGTAGAATTTAATGTTACAGTAATTTAAGATCAGTTGTCCCCTCCGTTAAGGTTGACTGGGAGACAATGCAATACCTGATGTCTGGATGTTGTGGAATAAAATGCGTGTGTTACAAAAAATGAATATAATATATAACAATAACATAAATTACTTGAATTGTTACAGCAATTGGATGTTTAAAAGCCTACTTACGTATGTAACTGGGAGTTGCGATCATGCTCTGCCTAAGTTAGCAGGAGCTGCTCACTTGGTGTCTTTGTTGGTGTCAGGTAGCTGAGTGAGTTACTTTATTATGAAAATTGCATTCAACTGAAAAAAGTAAATATTTTCAAGTGCCTGGGGGAAAAGCTAGTTTTGTATTAAAGGATTTGGTTCTTTAAGTCGCCAAAAAGTTAATGCTTCTCAGGTGCATCTGAGGGAGAGAATGTTCAAATGTAATACTAAAATCTTTAAGAAGAGAATGCATTGCTTTGAACGAACTGTCCTGGTGCTTGAATAGGCTATGCTGGAGATTATAATGTTTACCTTAGTTAAAAAGCAGCAACGGTATTTTAAATAGTGAGGATTTTGTCCAAGTTCTTGGAGCATTAACATCTTCAGTCCGTACACAAACCAAATAGTGCAGAATCTTCTTACAGGGTTTGAAATTAAATTTATTTTAATCTTCTAGGTTAAAAAAAGTTGAATGGATAATTATACTTGATGCGGTGTAGTTACATGGGCACTTTCTACAGATACCATTTATTTTCTTTCCCCTCTAGGAATATCTTTATTGATACAGTCACTGTGGTCTGCTATTTTTAACAAACTGGTGTTGCTGCATTACCTTAACTCTGCTGCTCTAATTGAAACAGAAAGACTTTGATCCAGCAAATCACTTAAAATGAGTGGATAATTCATGTATATAAGTAGTAATTTCATTAAAGTGACTGCTCATATGCTCCGTTATACAGTTGCTCAAGTGCTTTCATAGATCAGGGATCTAATTGCAAAATGTTGTATTTGTTTTCCAAACAGTTCTAAGTAATGATAGCAAGAAAAATCAGAACCTAAACTCAACATAACCTAACTTACATTTTCTGCATTTTTTTTTTTTTGTTAGATTCTGTCTGATTTTTCTGTACAGGTGTCTAACCTTTGTGCTGGTTCAGTGACTACTGAGCATCATAAATGTGTAAAGAATTTACACATTTGACTGGTGACTTGTGTACTCAGTCACTCAGATGGGTCTTTACTGTGCACAGGTCTGAAAACCTGTACCTGCATCAGCAGTCACAGCTCTTGACTGAGCAGATGCCCTGACCACATATGTGTATTTACAGGACAGATGTAAACACAGGCAAACAAAGCACCATTCTACCTACTGGCAATATTTGTGAAACCTGAAGGATATAGTTACTGCAGGCTGTTATGTTTTTAATGCTATATCCCATAGTGCGCTGAAAACAATCATATACATCGCATTAGCACAACATACATAAATAAGAAATCCCATGAGTTATACTGGTGGTTATGGTGCTTAATTTTTTTAATTGTTTTCAGAGTCTGTTATTCATGAAAATTGACCATACAGCATGGATATTTAAAAAAATTATAAGTAGCTGTACCGTTGCTTAATTTCTTTCCTGTTCCTAATTTTGAAAGTGCTGAATAATCAGCATCTGAAAATCAGAGCTCACATTTGAAAATTCTGCTGTATTAGCTGTTGATCAGGGGATTCTCACTGCTGCACAGATGTATGTGTGTGTCTGTAAGTATAAACTGATAATAGTGAGCAATCCAGGTATGTGTTCCAACCTCATACAGCAGCCTCCCTGTGTGCTCTGCACTGTGGTGTCACCCAAATCATATTCCCTGTTCCTCTCAGCTTCTTCTCGCTCTTATTGTCCCTATCCACATTTCCTTATACTTGGCTAAACACAGTGGCAGCCAGGGCTTACTTTACCCATACCAGGTCTTGCACCTGTTCACCACCTGTGGAGAGCTCCTCCTGAATAGCTTCTCCTCTTCTTGTTCCTCCTATTCCTGGAGATTGCAAGGCAATGAATAAATAGTCTACATACATGATAGGTATCTGTTTAAATAAAGAAATGTCCAGATGTGT